TCAGTCAGTCAGTCAGTGTCTCAGTTAGTCAGTCAGTGTCTCTCAGTCAGCCAGTTAGTGTCTCTCAGTCAGTCACTCAGTCAGTGTCTCTCAGCCAGTCAGTCAGTGTCTCTCAGTCAGTCAGTCTATCAGTGTCTCTCAGTCAGTCAGTCAGTGTCTCTCAGTCAGTCAGTCAGTCAGTCAGTGTCTCTCAGTCAGTCAGTCAGTGTCTCTCAGTCAGCCAGTCAGTCAGTGTCTCTCAGTCAGCCAGTCAGTCAGTGTCTCTCCGTCACTCAGTCAGTGTCTCTTAGTCAGTCACTCAGTCAGTGTCTCTCAGCCAGTCAGTCAGTGTCTCTCAGTCAGTCAGTCAGTCAGTGTCTCTCAGTCAGTCAGTCAGTGTCTCTCAGTCAGTCAGTCAGTGTCTCTCAGTCAGTCAGTCAGTCAGTGTCTCAGTTAGTCAGTCAGTGTCTCTCAGTCAGTCAGTCAGTGTCTCTCAGTCAGCCAGTCAGTCAGTGTCTCTCAGTCAGTCACTCAGTCAGTGTCTCTCAGCCAGTCAGTTAGTGTCTCTCAGTCAGTCAGTCAGTCTATCAGTGTCTCTCAGTCAGTCAGTCAGTCAGTCAGTGTCTCTCAGTCAGTCAGTGTCTCTCAGGCAGTCAGTCAGTGTCTCTCAGTTAGTCAGTCAGTGTCTCTCAGTCAGTCAGTCAGTGTCTCTCAGTCGGTCAGTCAGTCAGTGTCTCTCAGTCAGTCAGTCAGTCAGTGTCTCTCAGTCAGTCAGTCAGTCAGTGTCTCTCAGTCGGTCAGTCAGTCAGTGTCTCAGTCAGTCAGTCAGTGTCTCAGTCAGTCAGTCAGTCTATCAGTGTCTCTCAGTCAGTCAGTCACAGTCTGTCAACTTTATCAAGGGGAATTACTAATTTTATTTTCATAGTCATTTCTTGTTTTCAAGAGGGAAAGAGTACAGCTTTCTTGTTTAATTATTCCTTCAGAGAAAGGAGAAGGGAAGGTTAAAGAAAATGGCTCACAGAATGGAGAAGAGGGCTCTATGTCCAGCAAAAATTCTCCTGGAGATGTTGCTAACAATGATAAGAAGGAGAGGGAAAAAGGGGAATTGGCTCTTGAGAATAAGAATGATGAACAACCTGAACAAGAAGAAGCAGAAAGCAGGTGTGCAAATGTTCATGGGAATAGTGACAATGAAAAGGAATTTGTTGGTGCATCACCTGGGATTGAAGACAATGATTATGATGACAGTGATGACGATGATGATGAGGACGAGGATGATGATGATGATGATGATGATGATGATGATGATGATGATGATGATGATGATGCTGATGAAGGCAATGAAGTTCCTTCAGGCTCAGATGAGGTGAATATAGATTGCTTTTATCATTTTCTCCAGGGGCTAAAGCTGACTTAAACCAGATGTTGAATTTTTAAAAATTCCCACCAAGAATCAGGAGGAATCTCTATCCCCCTTAACCCTGCCTGCCCTCCCCCTTTCTCCTTGAGGGGAGGCAGGTACAACTTGACCCTTTCACCAAAAGCAACTTCTTTTGTGCTTTAAGAACTCTTTTTGACACAGCTCCTTAGTAACTTAAACCAGTATATTTGACAAACTGTTGGTTGTTAAATTACAAAATTTATCTTGACATATTTGCCATTTTTTTTGCAGGTTGGATATGATAGTGGCACCACAGCAATTGTAGCTTTTTTACATGAAAATCAGTTAACTGTTGCCAACGTCGGTGATTCACGTTGTGTTTTGTGTAGAAACAGTATCGCTTTGGAAATGTCCATGGACCACAAACCTGAGGATGAACATGAACTTAATAGAATCCACAAAGCAGGGGGAAAAGTTACTTGTGAAGGAAGAGTCAATGGAGGGTTAAATCTGTCCAGAGCATTAGGTTTGTTGAGAGAAGATCCTGAGTATTTCTGAAATTAGAGGGGTCGAAATCATTTTGCTGAGCTTTATGGTTGGTCAGGAAAATTCATGCAATACCCTGGGGGTGTGAAACTGAACCTAGTGGCCACTTGATCACCAGCATTTCCCTTGCTAGTGGCTACTGGTTTATGTTTACTTTGAGTTCCCATCGGCTCCTTGTCTTGTTTGCTTTTGTTTTGATTGGCGATTGTAATTACTAGGTATTTGGTTTAGAAACACTTGGTCTTCTTTGGCTAATTACAAAGTATTTGGTTTAGAGACACTTGGTCCTCTTCAGCTAATTACAAAGTACTTGGTTTAGAGACATTTGGTCTTCTTCCACTAATCACAAAGTACTTGGTTTAGAGACACTTGGTCTTTTTCAGCTAGTTACAAAGTTCTTGGTTAAGAGATACTTGGTCACCTTTGGCTGTAAGGAGATTGTCAATAATTGCTCTTAAGGTGTATGTCAACAGACATAAACCAATGGACGAATTAGAACCCTGAACTGTAGTGTACACAGTTGTGTCAGACTGACATTCTGATTTGATGAAATGGAAGCCAAATTTTTTAAACAATTGTTAAACTCAGGCATTTAATATCAAATTTAGAGAGAGAAAAAAGAGCAAAGCATGATGTTTTTTTTTTTGAAGTTCTATTCTTTTTTTATTTGTTTCAGGTGATCATAGTTATAAACTACAAACAGAATTATCCGCACATGAGCAGCAAATTACTGCAATGCCTGACGTCAGACAAACGCAGTTAACAGAGTAAGTGGTGCATGTAAAATATGTTAGTATTATTCTTCTTTTGCCGGCTTCATTTTTCTCAGTTTTTATTGATTTGAGGCACCTTTCTTTTAGGGCTGATGAGTTTATGGTAATCGCTTGTGATGGAATATGGTAAGTAATACTACTGTCCATGTGACAAGCACACCAGACTATAGGTCAATAAGTTGGTGTTTAAGCCTTAAGCCAAGAGAAGACAAGGTAGCCTAACACTTAATGTCTTGGACTCCAAATTGAAATGTTCAGGTTGGATACCTGGCCGGCTACTTTGGGACACTGACCTCTCTCTGACCTCTCTCCAGCCAGGAGTATAAGTGGATAGAGGTGAACTGTCAGTAAGCCATATGAAAGTTGTGGGGATTAACAGTGCAATGGATCAGCATCCCATCCAGGGAGAGTACAAGGATACTATGTGTGGCTTCATCTTACAGAAACTGGAATAAGCTCTGCATGGATGGGTTACTTGGCTCAATTGCAGACTTGACCTCCAAGTTTAGCTTCTAGATGTATCTTTGTCTTGTGTTCCTGAACTAAACACTCTTTTTCTCAAAGTGCTTCTCTGCACCCAGGAGCATACGTGGGCACTAGGGGACTGCAAAAGATTAGCACTCCATCCAGACGGAGAAGCAACATCTCTTGCAGCTTCAATTTTTTGAAACCATGATAAGCTCCACAAATGGGCTACTAGGAGGGCAAAACCAACTTAACTTTTGTGCCCTTTGTAGTAAATGTAGGTTTGAGTTAAGATGATTCTTTTAAGGCCTCATTTTTTTTTTCCTCTAGGAATGTGAAAGGAAGTCAGGAAGTGGTAGATTTTGTGTCAGACAGATTACGAGAACAGAGAAAGAATGGTGAATCAAACCTTACACAGATTTGTGAAGAGGTAAACATTCGTGTTTATTTACTAAAGGGTTTAAAACGAGGTGGGAACTACCTAGTTCTGAGAAGGACTGGTGTTAGTAGCAATGACTGACAACCAAAAGTTATTACCAAGTAGTTCAGTGTATTGAGTCAGGGTTACATATATAAAAAAAAATGATTGGTCAGTTATATCACGATGTTGTCAGCCAGTTAGACTCGAGGGGCATAACGCTGTCATGATTTTTCAATGCTGATCCTTCAGTGGAGATACGTTACCGGCTGCATGATGGATAACTGTTCAGAGGGCTCTGTTTTAAGTTAGTAAACTAGTTTTCCACAATCAGTCCTGTGGTCCGAGTTACAATCAATACAGTACTCTGGTCAGCCGTGTGATCGGTCGTTGGACATAGCTTTGAAGGGTCGTACAATCAATACAGTACTCTGGTCAGCCGTGTGATCGGTCGTTGGACATAGCTTTGTAGGGTCGTACAATCAATACAGTACTCTGGTCAGCCGTGTGATCGGTCGTTGGACATAGCTTTGTAGGGTCGTACAATCAATACAGTACTCTGGTCAGCCGTGTGATCGGTCTTTGGACATAGCTTTGTAGGGTCGTACAATCAATACAGTACTCTGGTCAGCCGTGTGATCGGTCTTTGGACATAGCTTTGTAGGGTCGTAGGATCAGCGAGATGGTTTTGGACACGCCCTTTATGGACGGCATAGTCCAAGTATTCTTAGAAATTTCGTTGGCGTTTGTTTTAGAACTTTTAATAAGTTTCTCGTCTAATGGAGTCGTCCTTGTAGTTGTTCGTGGAAGAGACACGGAAAAAGTATCCGGTGGGTTGCCTGCTCATTGTTGATTGAAAATATCCTTGGCATCACCTGTGTGGCTTTGGAGTGCATTTTACCTTCTAATTCCTTTGACTGCACTTTCTTTCAGCTACTCGATTCTTGTTTAGCATCAGACACCGCAGGAGACGGGTCAGGGTGCGATAACATGACCTGCATTATAGTGCTATTTAACTCCGCTGAAAAAACAGATCAAAACAGTAAAAAGAGGAAACTACAGAGTGAAACAATTGATGAAGATTTCGTGGACAAGCGACTCAAGACGGACGACTCGTGAGTCATACGCAACCGTACAGAAAGTTTTCAAACTCCACAGGGATTCTTTTTCCACCTTTTACATTCACAGACAGTTGGTGGTCGAGTAGGTGGAGTGTTATTTCACGCCAGATGGGAACGCGCTTGGAGCATTGGGATCTGCACGGTCTGGGATCAATGTCGCTCGTCGCTTCTCGTGGAATATTGAGTTACAAAATTTCCCGTTTTCCTGAGAAGTTTGCTCGCTAAAAACCCATTAAAAATATGTAATTTTTGGGAACATAAGGTTTAAATCAAAAAGTTATTTAAACTAAATATCGCCACTTACATGCAACACTCCAAAACTGTGGAGTTAATGCGCGCACTATTGTATCTACATAGCAATGCAAACTTTGTCCGCTAAGTCATACGATTTTTTCGCAACTTTTTGTAAGAATTCTTTTGAGAGCAGTCAGAGGCTCCCCTAGTAGCCTGTCCCTCAGCCTGGTCCATAAATTGCTTTAAAATGTGATGTATCCATTCTTCTAGGGCTTTCTAAGAAAGACGAAGGCTGGCGAAATTTAGAGCTAGTTTAGTAACTGCTTGATTTGAGAGCAGCATGTTAGCATTTGCGTTTAGACTTAACAATGCAGCAGCGTCCTTTGTTTTGATATCAGTGTAATCTCAGTTGGGAATCAATCTTCTCTATCTGTTACTTATAGACTTTACTTTTAAAACCCTTTCTAATAGTTGTGATCTCAGTCTTCGCTTAACTCCAGTTTGTTCACCTGGAAAGATTAACCAGAATTGTTAAACTTACTCAGGTGTCATTAGTGACCAAAGAACTCGCTTGCTTGGGAGATTATTTCTAAGTTAATTTTTCGACATCGCTTGTACCCAGTACTTTATTCCCCATCTGCGTTGCACAGCAAACAAGTCTTTCGTTTTGACTCTCTTTAAAATATTCTTTTATGTTATGTAATTAGTGATTTCTTACAGATAATTAGGGATTGCTCTAAATTTATAGCTCACCTGGCAATTAAAACAGTTATTCTCGCTGATTCCTACAAGCAATCTCAAGATTAACAAAGTCCTTTGAATTTCCAGAAAGTTACCTCTGGCGATGAAAATGGACGCGCACCCCTTTCAGAAATCAAACCATAGAATTCTCGACGACATGTGTATTTAATATAATCAACTGTTGAAAGTACAGACCTCGACGTCTTGAAATTAAAGCCACTAATTATTAAAATACACAAAAATTTTATACCAGCACCTAAATAGGCATCCTTTATTTATTTATCTTACAATGTTTTTTTCGTTGAATTTTTTGTTTCAGAGGAGAATTTCAAAGTTGATGAAATAACATCTCTGTAAGACTGGTGACATCTGTCAAACTTCCAGTCGTACAAACTTTTTTCAGATTGTCCCTTCTCTGACAATTTTTAGTTGCAATAGCTTGAAAGTTTTTAGAAGTTTTGCGTTGATTATGCTCTTTCCTGTCAAGTTTTTTTTCTCTTAAGTTTGAAGAATGGCCTAGTCCACATCGCGCTGGTTGCAACATGAAATTAACAGCGACTAACAGCCACAATAAACCATAATATTTAGCGTCTGTATTTCAGTCTTTGCTGAGGCTTAAATATATTTCATACACAACAGCAATGATATTGTGATACCAACTCATAATCATGTGTACAATCTCCCCCCCTCCTTGTCATTTTGTCAGATATCACTGTCAAGAAAGTAGCGTAATTCTTGGCTCTGTTCTGTGATTATAATATATTCTATACACGTTTATGGTCCGGGGACGGAAGCTTAATAAGCCCATCTGTAATAATACTATCTAAACTAAGAGATGGATACAAACTCTATTTTTTTTTCTTCTAAATATACAGTGAATAACATTTATCTATTGACTCAGGGCTCGCCGTTTTTGACAATATTTTGATTTCTACTTCCGGTACTGACTCCGTTTCCTTCGTGGAATTTAAGCAGTTCTCCTAGGTAAGCTTGAAATGCATTCATGGCCGCATTTATCGCCGGTGAACCAAAACCATGGGTCACTAAACCAAACTGGTTAAGGCTACGTAAAATGGAGTCCGGCAGGTTACTATTGGGTAACCTGGTCTTAGGATAGGGGTCCTGTGCAAGAACATCTTGTAGTTCCTTTGTCAATTGTCTACAAAAGAGAGAAAGTAACGTCAATCAGACATTTTCGTCGTGCCTGTTAAGTCTTGATATCATCTAGAGAATGAATGATTGTAAACGTGACTTGCACCTACTCCTTCATCGAACCATTTTAATGTCGAATTATATGAATTATTGTCTTTTGGTTCTTATCCCGGTCTGCGTGTTTCGCGCCTAGTCAGTTTCGTACTTCTTTCTGGCTTGCGTTTCGCTTTCCGCGCTATTAAAAAAACAGAAAGCGAAACACGAAACACCAAGCACATGCTTCAAGCTGCTTTGACAGATATTTGCCCTCATTTGTATAACACACCTTAAAACCTTCTTGTAAATCATAATATCAATGAGACGAGATTATACAGAAAGAATTCTAACGGTGGTACATGGGACGTTATTCTCTTTTGATATTGTGCATATGTTAGTTTCCAGGAAGAGTCAACATTGAGGTGTAAAACGACATTTCTAACTAGGGACGAAGTTCATGAATATCACTTGAACTTTGAAGTCTCGATTAACGAAGTGTTACGTACTTTGCTGCAAGAATTGCGTTTTTTCTTGCTTGCTGTTCTGATGGTTCAGAATGTTGTCTGTACTGTCGTTCGGCCAGCTGTGCTGCAGGAAACTCTGATTCACACACGTAATCAAAATCAGCAGCTAAATGGGCCGCTTCACCTGTCACAGGGAAACAGAAATTACATCTTGTAAAAGAGAAATTAAACAAGAGGGTACGTAGATACAGACGGTCAGTGAAGCTTATTTCGTCCTATGGTGACGAAGGAGGATCCAAGGGTTAAAAAATGCCTCTTTGTAGATAAAGTTTGGATCAATGTACAATGGATAACGCGTTCGGTTAGGTTGTCGTTAAACCGAAACTGGAGTGGTCATAACAGCAATCAGGAAAATACCCACAGGACCCTTTGCTAGCTCATAGCGCTACGAGAAAACTGTCTGCAGCGCAAGAAAATAGGAGACTGAGCCGCGATTGTTTTTAGTTTTGTATCTGACTTTCAAGACCAATGACAGAGCATAGTAGAACACTTTTCAATTGAACGTCGAAAAACTGAAACCAAAGTCATCACTGTGGCCAACCAATGACCAATCATAAAAAGGATACCATCGTCATTAACCAATGAGAACTCATGGTAAAAACAGGTAAACTACGAAAAACGCGGGAAAACGCGGATGATCCAGAAGCGTTTGATATTGGTTTTACGTCTGATTGGTTGTAAGGATGGCGCTAGTTTTCTGAACCAATGAAAGAGCGAGGAAAAGCAAATCCGGATTTCTTTCAACAGTCAAACGATCAAAACCTAAGTTCAGAATGTTCAACTTAAATTATTATTATGAAGTCATGATTTTCCAAAGTTACCTTCTACAAGTGACGTAAGTAGCGTGACTTGAGCTGCTTTTCTTCTTCCCGCCGGAAGTGACAGACCGATCTTTTCTAATTTGTCACGCAAACTTTTACCACCATTCTTAGACTTCGCCCTAATTTGAAAGCAAACCATGTTGGAGTTACTTTTAACTTTACTGAAAACATCGATAAAGATATGAGTACCTGTCTGCCTTAAGTAAATTTTAATCGTAACCTCTGTATCTTGAACAGTTTGGCCTAACGAAAAACAAATTTGGTTATCATTCGTGCTATTCTTTTCCGTACTTTGCAGCGCGCTTTCCCTTTTGTTTTATTATTGCTCTGTTGGTGTTCATCTACCCAAGTAACTAACCTTTGTTTAAAGATTTCCGTTAACGGTTTTAATCTAGTGGATGTCTTCTTTAAATATTTTTGTTTATTCTTATTTATGTTATAATTATGTTAAATATTTGTTAACAGCAGGACCCCGTTGATAGTAGTACTTGGTACTGAAGGGCTATCCTGGATAAATATTCGATTATTATTACTATTATTAACTGGTTTCAGTAGCCAGTAATATTCTACGTTGATTCTTTGGTTACTCCGACTTCCTGTTTCCTCGTAAATGTATTGACCCGCTAAAGAGAAATTAGACCTTGAATTTACCTCCTAAGCACTCCACCCAACAGCGAAGCATTCAAACACTCGGGATGAGAAAGTCTCCGACGTATCTCTCCTACAGTGACCTTGTATTTTGAGGTTGAACTTAGAAGGGACAATCGGCCTGGAACACAGCAGAACACATCGGAAGGATGGACAGGACTGTCGGAATCTGCCTCCTCGCGGGAATCACGCTCAATCTGCTTTGCTTTGTTGCTGTGACCTATACAAAATGAGGACGAAAATCGTGATTGGAAGAGATTTGTACATTAAGTTTTTCTTGAGAAGCATTCACCTGTAGCGTAATTGGAAAATTACGACGAGTTTATGTAAGGTTATGAACGAATATGTTTGCCAAGAAAAAAAAAAAACTAGTAAAGAAAGAATTTGCTGGGTTAAAAGACTTGACAAAGAAACTTAACAGGATCGGTTATTTTTGAATAGTTTAAGTCAAATTCTATTCCAGATAAGTGTTTAAGTGGTTTTTGCTAAGTGCTCAGTACAAGGAAAGTTTGCAGCGGTTTATCGCTCAAAATAAGTTTGAACAGGCTCTGGAAATTGTTGCCACCGTGCATCGTTGTGTGAGTTGGAACATGAGTGACACGGATTATCACCCAAAAAGTATTGATGGAAAGCCTCGTGCTATTATAAGATCTAGTTGAAAAAAAAAAAAAAACGAATGCATGTATTTAGCACCCCTCCTTTGATTACAAGAATCCAGGACTTCCAGATTTTCAATTTAGCTTTCAAACCGTTAGGTAAGCCCGTTTCTACATCAAGTGGAATTCTAATCTTTCCACCCATTTGTGTACGGTGGCCCAGAAGGCTCAACGCAAACAAAAAATATACTGCAGCGAATAAAAAATATACTGCAGCAAATAAAAAATATACTGCAGCAACTAAAAAATATACTGCAAGAAATAAAAAAATCAAAACGCAAAGAAAAAAAGTACCGCAGCAAATAAAAAATGCAACGCAAACAAAAATACTGCAGCAAATAAAATATGCAACGCAAACAGAAAAAAAAAAAGAAAACGCAAACAAAAAAATTGGAACGCAACGCCAAGGAAGACTGGGTAATAGTTCTTAGTTTCCCGCCAACACTCGTTCTATCCTTTGCTTGTTCACCTTTCCGAAACCATGTTTTGTAGCGAACTTATGACAGTACCATGCTGCTCCTTTAAAAAATCGATAATAACTCTATTTTCATACCCTTGATGAAAGTAATCTTCTATAATCCTACGCAGATCGCTTTCGTCCATAGCCAAAAGCGAGTTCCAGTTCATGGGGTACTTTTTTCTTTGCGTTCTGATTTTTTTATTTGCTGCAGTATATTTTTATTTGCTGCAGTATATTTTTATTTGCTGCAGTATATTTTTATTTGCTGCAGTATATTTTTATTTGCTGCAGTATATTTTTATTTGCTGCAGTATATTTTTATTTGCTGCAGTATATTTTTATTTGCTGCAGTATATTTTTATTTGCTGCAGTATATTTTTTATTTGCTGAGTATATTTTTTGTTTGCGTTGAACCTTCTGGGCCACCGTATTTGTGCAGCATAAATGTCAAATTTTTCTCTCTTTATTGCAAAACAAATCTATTCCCGCTTTTACTAAAATTCGTATATTTATGCGTTCCAGTGTCACTAACGTTTCATCGTACGTGTATCGTAAACACGCCATTTTAACGTGATGCTGTAGAATGTTTTGGACCAGTTCTTCCACTTCTTATTTGTTTTGTTCGCTTAAATTGGAATTCACGTTTTTTTCCACTGTGTCCCTTTTTGTTTTTACATATTTTCGAAGTACACTTCCGTTTTCACCCATCTTTATTTGTTTATTTTGTAAGAAACTATGTATTATGGCAAGTCACGTTCTTCGACACTTGTTATTTTGACTACTGACTTTTTACAGGCTTCCTTTTTTTCACGTTCTTTAGTACGATTCACGTTTTTAAGTTGAAATGTTTTTCTTTTTAGAAAAACACCTTGAAGGTTTTTGTTTGGTACCACAAACGCCCAATGAATGCTAAGTTTTAACTTATAAAGCTTTTTTATGTGATTTCAGCTGGGAACACGAGAAAATACTGGAACCAAACGAAAAGTGATCGACAACGAAAACAGTCGTACCATGTTTTCTTAAGAGCACAGATTTAAATCAAGTGAAATATGGCCGGAGGGAAAGTTAAAAAAATCAGCTGAAATTTTTAGCTGTTATTTTTTAACGCCAGGTTTATTACAATATTTCTAACGATTTAAAATGTTCGGGGAACAAAGGTTGGTTACGCCTCTTCGATGTACTGGTGGCTTTTAAATCTGGAAAATATTTTCCGGCGGTGAGAACAAAGCCCTACTTTAATATCCACAAGCTTTCAAATATTGCACTGTGTTTTTATTAAAGTTTATAAAATAACGATCATTTGTAAGCATGAGTCTGAGCTTTAAGAATAAAGCCCTCGGAACCGGTACTGATCAAAACAAACGACAAACACTCATCAACAACGAATTATCCAGTTGTTGGTTTGACACAAATGGATAAACTCGGATGTATAGCAAAAAATTTATGGATTAAACATTTAATTAGAAGGGGTACAGTGTATTAGGTTATTAATTTTTTTATTATTTTCCTTATTTTTTGGAGGAAATGAAAATTCATGCGTTTGAAAGGAATAACGCAGTTCCAAAATCATAGAGTTTTATTCTGTAAAAAGATTCAGGATTTTTTTCTAAAAGGTTCCAAACAACCAGTAGTGATTTGTGGAACGTTCCCTCCTTCTCCCCCAGGCCGTGCTGCTCGCTATTAATCTTTTCAGAGAATTGTTTGAGGGACATGACTGACTCAAGACTGTCATGATTGGTATTAGATCAATCTCACTTGCACTGATAGAAACTAGTCAAAATGAACACTGACTGTATTAACACTGAGATAAAAAATTGAAACGTATCTGATAAAAAATTGAAATAAAATGGAAAGTAATGCTCAAGGCAAGTGGAAAAATTATTTTATCGAGGTATTATTGGAACTTTCTCAAAAATCATTCGTTTGGAAATGTGTCATTGAGTGATGCCAAAACGCAGACTAACGGAAGACAATGGCATATGTAAAACGAGGCTCAAAAAGCTCTTCCCTTCAGCTGAATTTACACATGTTGATCACTGAAGCATCTAATGGGCAGCATTTTAACCAAACAAGTACCGTATTATAGCTGCAAGGCAAACTGGCTTAAAATAACACACTATACAATCTAAAGAACGTGGCGTTAAAATCTCGTCCAAAGTGGTTTAATTTGAACCAACTCGTAGTACTTAGCACTTATCATAAATAACCTATAGTGTGGTGAAAAATTAACACATTCAGTCTAAACTTGTTGCAGAGTTACCAATGAATAACACATACTTTGCACGTAAAAGCAAGTAACGGTAATTTGCATCAGTCTTAGAACAATAAAGGCGAGAGGTAAAAGTGTCTCCATGTTACTTTTAACACGTTACTAGGTAGCACTTAGGCTTTGAAATATGAAAATGAATAATGGGAGGGCTGAAAAAACATAGTGATTATTTGAAAGGCTAAACTCGAGTTTTTGTCTGCCGGCTGTGCCACACAGCACTTGGCGACCACACATACGGTAAAAAATGTGACTTTGAAAAATGGTCGCTTTCAAAACTAGACAAAGCAGAACTTCCTTTTTGTTTGGTAAATGTGGTCAAACAGCAATGTAAGAAAACGTTCCGCCCCTGTCAGTATACAAACTATTAAGGAACTCGAAAAAGACATGTTGCAAGCATATAACGACGGTATTAGAAATTCACAAAAGATGCCGACAACTTAGAGAATCTTAATAACACTTGTTATGGCGTCAGCTTGATTAAGCAGTGTTTTATGAAGGTATTTTTAGCACTTGAGTTGGTTTCATGGTTGAACCATTTCGAACACTGTGCACGAAATGCCAACCCGACAGAGACACAATTATGTCCAAAGCACTTGATATGCTCACAAATAGTCCTTTCATTTAGTTTTGTTTTTTAGGGCTGTTTGCTTACATATATATATACACACACAGGTGAAATGTATTAAAAGGATAATATGCTGTTATATTTTCTTGAGGAGATTTTTGTTGTTGCGTTGTTTGCTGCCATAAATTTCTGAAGATACTATCAGTTACTCGAAATATTAAATTCCTCAAAATTAAATTGTGTAATAACTAGATGTCCACCAAGCCAACTTTACCGAAACTGAGCAGTTTTCTAACACTGATTATATAGAGTAGGCGAAGAATGATCTGATTTTAAATGATTCTACTACGGAAAGGATATGTTTTGTTTTAGTTCTTTAATTTTTTTTGGACCCCCGTTGAGAAAAATTAGAGAGTTCCGATAATTTGTTTATGCAATAAACAATGTATCTTCAAGGTCAGATATCTTCACCGGTCGGTCAGTAAATATTGTTGAGAAAAAAAGGAAAATAAGAAAACACGTTTGGTAAAAGTAAAATTTCAGCACAGACAGGAAAAACGAAATTAAACTTGAAAGAACAAAGGGAAGTCGTGGAACAAGAAGTCGGAAAAGTGGATTCTTACTTAAATAACGTGATCTTTTTGTACTCTGAGGCAGTTGGTGTTTTTTTGTTTAGAATTCACGTGTTGGCAATTTGGTTTTCTTAAATTCTCTCATAAAACATGCTGTCACTCTCATGAACAACCCTGTGTTCTCTCTCTCTCTCGCGGCCAAAATATCCGGACAGACTTCAACTAAATCATGAAATATTAATAGTTCTGTCTCCCACCTGTACACTGATTCATTTTCGACTTAAAAAGCGGCTTTCAACAGCTTCCGGGCGATTTTTTTTTCGGCAGATGTTGTAATATTCTCAGGAATTACTTTTGAAATAATACTAATTATACCAATAATAATAATAATGGTAGTAGTAGTATAATATTTAAAAAAAATCTCGCCTTTCCAAGGCAAGAAGTGAAACTGCGGGTGGTAAATTAAAGGTTGTAAAGGTGCAGAGTGAAACAATTGTCGAGTCACAGTCTTTGAGTGACAACTCCGACACCTGAACTCCATTTGGAAAAGACATCGAGTTTCAATAAACTATTTAACAGAATAAAATTTCAGTTAAGAGGCACTGATACAATTGTCGCCGATGGCGTTTATGCTGTATTAAACCGTTCACTGACAATTTTTGATAAGTTCTCTAAAACTCGTGACAATATGCCAGCATGACAAAAGTAAATAAATAAAATGCCCAGTTGAGACTTAAGAGATAAATTGGGATATCATGAAAGATTTTGATGCACTGTTAATAAAGTTTGTAGTTTGACTCACGCTGTTCTTGACAAAATTTTAAGCCCACAGCGACCACAGACTGATTGCTCACTTACTTAAAATATGTTATTTCGTAGAGAAAAAAACTCATCACTAGAATGTCACTGGAAGGTTCAAGGTGACCCGTGCTTAAACATTTAAACACAGCGTGTATTTCAAGAGAAAATTGTGAGTCTCGTCGATGAAACAATGAGATAAGACATACAAGAAAAAATTTGAATAAAAATTTCAACAAACGGTTGCTATCAAGTCTAAATTTTGTCAGAAAGTCTACGGAAAACACTCCAATATTAGAGACGAATTTAACGCCCAAGAAATAATAATTTGAGAACAGTAAACACAAAATAGGCCAATTAAGATTTCAAGAGACGAAGCAAACTTTTAAATTACTTTTGTACGCCTCAGGAAAATCTGTCTTGCGTAAGTTCAAACCTTGAATTTTGTACCAAAATAAATCGTTTGTATTATTTCACCTTTTAATAGCAATGACAAAGAACAAAATTTCAAGGAGAGGCTTTCCCTTACGTTATTAAATAGATAATACTGTTTCATCATAGCGGCTTAAAGTTCCCTACGATGTCGCAATTGTAAATGTAATTTTTGATTCACCGATTGCCTTAGTAGTGTGGGTAAATCCGTACTTTCAATATTTTATGTTGTATTTCTCGTCAACGGAAGATCGATGACCAAAGCTAAATATTGTCTCTACACTAATGATTGAAAAGATAAATAATTTTACCACATTATTTTATTTTAAAAAATGGTTTTAACGACTTGAATTTCAAGGTGTACCTATAAAAACCTGTCATGGTGCTATAGTAAAGAAAAGAAGTTTCGCTTTAAAAGTGAAATGAAAACTTCTATGGATGTAGAAATATTTTTGACGAGGAGCGAACGATAGGAAAGATTGATGGTGTTTTTGTTTGGTATAAAATCTTTCTTTAATCACTAACATAAAGCGAATGTCCTACGCAAAGTCTGCTGATAAACATTTTCCGTTTCCTCTGAGCTTATCTACTAAGAATTCACAGAGAGCTTTTTAAGGATTTGAAATCAAGAAAGATTATTCAATTTTTACCGCAATCTTGAAAAACTTAGAAAAGAGTTGAAGCTTTTTTTCCAAGAGTAGAGAAAACTCCATGACTTAGATTTCTTATGTCCTTTGTTGTCACAAATAAGAATATTAAGATTTAAATATTAATTTCATCGAACAAAGTTATTCGTTTGAATTAACTGATGTAGATTTGTTCGCTGCGTTGCTAAAATTTAATGTTACAATATTTTTCCCTGTTGCACAATAACTGAGGCAACTTAGGTGTATCGAAGACTCACACGAGCACTCAGGATTTTTGTTTTACATCAATTATTTTCTTAAACATTAGCACCACAAATAAAAGCCTCGCTAATGTTAAAACTATAGGGAGTGGCAAAGTGAAATTGAGCTTACTTTCTCGAGAATTGTGATGTCCATGTGGAAGCTCACCGTTCTTACTGCTCAGAGCCGAGGATCGATGGTTCTGTTGGATCAAGGAATCAAATCTTAATAATGCTTGTATTTGAGGGTCTTGTGCAGAACATATCTTAATTCTTTATCTAATTACAAAGAATACATTCAGGTAGTTTTAAAATTTATATTCTTAGAACACACCTCATATTTAGAAAAACTTTTCTAGTTTGTGTAATACTTCACTTTCCTTTCTGCGCAATTGTTATTCGAAAGACCATTCGCCCTGTGTTAATATTTCAACTTTCTAAATTTGAGTATCGCACAAAAGCGCGCCAAGGAGATCAAAAGGAAACATTTTTGCCTGAAGAAGAAATGTGTTATTGAGCTTGAAAATAGGTTCGCTAATCGCTTCGTTCTTATTTGAAAGCCACAGATCTATTTAATGCTTTCCGCCCTTTTATTGTAATTTCTCGAGCGCGACTTGGCCGGATGCCTGAGACTTGCAATTTCTGTTTCGTAATTATCACGAAGGAATATTCGCAACGCTCTTCGTTGGTGATCAATAGAAAGCTTTGTTCGCGTGCTTCAAAATCACTTTTAAAGCTTTACGCAAACTAAGTAAATGAGATTAGGAAACACAGTGGTATTTCACACTTTTAGAAGTGGCTGTGAAGTACTTTAGGGTCAAGATTTATGTCATTAAACGAAACACGAATAGAAAAAACTGCTAAACACAGCCGTACGAGTGTAAACATCAGCTGGCGCATTGATCATTGAGAAGGAATTCTTTAAGCGCTTAAATTTGCCTGGTGATAGAATACGAAGGTGTCAAACGATCGGTCTATCGGATATTTTGAATGGAGTTTTTCACGGGGTGAGCAGTACCGTGGTTGTTTGATTAATTGCTCCCCACTGCGAGCCCAGAGTTAAGTTCGTCTAAACATAACTGAGCCATGAACCACGATACAGAAACTTACTGATTGCGCTACGCGCGCCATGGATGAAAACTGAGAAGGCTGTTGAGAAAGACAAAAAGATTTGCTCAAATATAGTCAAAAGGATTGCTACCGTGATATATATTTTTACCGTTTTTAACACAAAACACCTTTCTTCATCACACGTTGATCATATAATAGTTCTTTGCGGTTAGAAACTAAAAAAGTAAATCATTTACTACGGTGGTGTATCCTTCGTGTTCGTTGCTTTTTCGCTCGTGTACTGATCACTCTCCATGTTCTTCTTGAAAAGAATCTTTGATAGAAAAGTGATATTCACCTCGCTTTCCCGTGTTTAAATTTTTCCGTTGTAAAAGCTCGCTGATAACCGAGTATTTCGAATTTATTTACGTCTCCTCCCCGCATGGGGTACTTTACGACTCCAAGATGGAAAATTTAGGCTTCGTTTAAATGTTTTTTCTTTAAAATACTTTCTTTAATTTTGATCATACAGTGTCGAGCAAGCCACGCATAAAATCTTTTGTTAGAGGATACTTATTTCTTTTTTTCTCTCCACGAGTAATATTCAGCTGGAAGACCTATCACCTGGAGAACATTAAGTGAAGCAAATCGTTTGTCAGGGGTTGGTGAGCGAGTAGTTAGCATTTTGAAAGCTTTGTTTCCTATGAAAATAGCCCCCAGAAACTTCATTCATTAACATCAACAAAATCGCCGAGGAAACTGTTTGGAGCGAACAAAAGTCAAGAAAACTATTTGTATTCAAACCACAGGATTGCAGGCTGTTCAATCGGTTTTGTTTCCACGCTTTAGAGAGTTCTTTGTGTGATGTTGTTGTCGTGACTTATGCAGTCCGGCTCTCGTGTTATTGATCACCGCAACTGTTTCACAAAAACACGCACATTGTTCCAAGTTGTGGGGAGCAAATTTCTTAGTTATCAAACTTTTACACGACTCCAGTAAACTCATAAAAAACAAACTAACACTGCATGACTTTTCATCTCATAACATAACGAATAAGCTTCGAAGGAAACCCCAAAATGTGATAAGGCTGTCGAAGGGCTGACAAATATAGCCTCAGTTATGTGTAGATAGGAAAATATAGAGGAAATTTGCGTTGAGTGTCGGCTAAAACCGCGTCAGGAATAACGCTACAGGCTTTAAAAGATAATATTGACCGGGGGACTCAAAATTGTCACTTGTTCATGACCTTAAGATTGTCGTATCTCCGATGTAGTTTGCTTACACGCGCTGACTGTGAAACATCATTCACCACCTAACTGACATTTTTGATCGCATATGTGTACATGCGGTACTTGTACTCGGCGGTAACTCAGAATGCTCTCTATCTGTCGCACAAATGTTACAGTTCTGTGATTAAGGAAAACGCTACGACTCATATTTTGCGTAAAACGTTGTTTGAGATTTTTCGCCGTCGCATGTCGTTCCCGTGTTGCGTCGCAAAGTGTGCAAATGGCGGAGAGGAAACAAGGAGCGCAGTTGACGCAAAGTAGATATTTTTGAGTCACAGAACTGGAGGTAAAATAAGCGGCGTGTGGCTACGAAGGAAAAGATGACATTGTACTTTACCTGAGATTCTTGAATGTTACCCGGCCCTATTATGTCAAAGACATCAGGCCGCCTAACTGAGTAAAGTTCTTCTCTACTCCTTCTCGCGTGTTCCATGGCCGCTCCAGCAAATTGGTTCATGTGCACTTGTTGTAAAGCTTCCACCTCAGAGCGGGCTCGGAGAGAATGCCTTCCTTGATGCTGTGAAGGTTGAGGATGTGTTGGACCAGCCATGGGTTGATGCGCTCCTCCTGCTGATACCGGGTGAAATCCTGCGGGACCATTACCGAATTGTGATGAATGAGCTGCTTGAAAAGGTTCGAGAGGGTGTGTGAAGTCGAACCTTGGCTGCTGTTGTTGTTGATAATGCAAAGGGTTGTATTGCGGGGCATAATATTGGTGCGTTTGTGGCTGCATCGGCGAGGAGAGAACAAAGTCGTGAGGTGGAGTGTGTGAAAGACGAGGAGCACACGAAGACCCTAAACCAGCACTAGTCACATTGGCAGATGGCGAAGAAACAACTCCTGTTCCACTAACTGTGCTTACACCATGGAGTCCAAGGACTCGATCCTAGCAAAACAAGAAACACATATGGAGTTAATAATTCTATTGTCGTATGAAAATAGCAGGCGATGTATTAGTGCTACTGATGTGACCCTCACTAGCTAGGCGCACTTACGACATCGGTTCGCAATTGAGGGAAGATTTCAAAGCTGTTGGGAAATGTTCTCACCGCCATAAGATGACTCGAAGAGACGCCGGTTAGTGAGTCTGTGAAATGATCGAACAGCTCTTTACGGGCTCTACTGAACGGATCAAGTGTATTTTGACAAGTGCAAACAGCGATCGGCGTACCACTTGACTTAGTTTATAGAATATACAGCTTATATCCTTACCTCGGAATCGATCAGTTCAAAGGCGGATGTAGAGTTCTCTGTTCTCTTTGAATGAGATGAGGAAGGAGATAGAGGAGTCAATGGTGGCGACAGGTCACGAGTTTGCGAGCGTTTTCTCTTACTACCTGCTTGTCTAGGCGCTGCTTGCGTTGTACTGTTCGTACCTATAGGGCCCAACTGGGACGTCATAATTGAGCTTAATTCACGGTCGGTGCTAAATGTTTTATAACCCCGGGCTCTACCAGTCGGTGGCACAAAACGTTAGTCAGTCACGGTAGGCTGTTCTTTCCGCAGACTCACTCCACTCCACAGCGGCCAAAGTGTTCGATTTTGCGCCAATTATCGCCTGAGGGAAATCTACTTCACGAACGCACTTCAAATACGGTTTAAATTTCGTGCAGCGGCGAAGCTTTGTGATTCATCAGGTCGCACCGATCACTTTTCAAAAGATGCTTCTGGGAATTGACAAGGGCTTGAGTGGCAAGCCAGACAGATTTTAATTATTTTCTGTCGTATTAAAGTTTCCAATTATTTGCAAATCAATTGAGGCCCCCCGATGCTTTATAGTACTTGTGTACACTTCACCTTGTTGGCGATTGGAAGATTAAGAAAGCAAATCGTATAATAATGCTATCCAACACCCAATAATCTATGGTATATAAACAGGCAGGCGGAGCCTTGTCACAATTTTCACTGATCCTTTTGTATGTTTGCTCTCTTTGTTTGCCATGCAGTGGGCGTGAGAGAGCCGTCAAATGCTTAACCGAACTACTTGCGCACCCCGTTTCTACCAAACCATGTCCGGGAAGGTAGACAATGTCAGGATGCGGCGATTTTCACGTGAAGTAAAACGACAGCGCGGGTGATGAACAACTCGCTCTGCTACGCGTGATTAGTTTGGCAAATGAAAAGTGACAAATGCTTCCTGAATCGTGACTTAGAGCAGGGTACGGTTTGTGCTCTAAATTATACCAGATTAGCTGTCGGTTCCCTTTGATGTTCACATGCGTACCATAACAAGATAAAATGACCTTCTGAGACTTTTAATTCTGGGTCAAAGAAAATTGCAAAGGCCCCCCAAAAGAACGCCCACTCGAGGAACAGGCCATATGTTTACATCAGTTAAAATGATCGGCTTTTCTGGAGTGATGAGAAGTTAGTTGGTAGACCGTAACGCACTTGTCCTAATGCTTGAGCTCGGCGACGCGCCATGTGAAAGCTTTCTGCGAGGTCATTTATCTTAATATAATCTTTATTTTTAAGTGCTTGCAAACATAAAGTAGATGTGAAGCTAAACATGGCTAGTTTTCTGAGGGGTGAGTTTCCAACTTACAGCGTAAAATTTTGAACAGATTTGATTAATTATTCAATAAATGGCTTCTTTTATTTCATTATGTCAGCGAGTTGTCTTAATGACTTTTGCACTCGATGCAAGGAAACTCTCGGCCTGGTGAAATCCTTCAAGTAAAAAAAATCGTTAGCTCCTTGTGATGTTATCCTGTTTGTGGCAAAGGCAAACACATCTCCTGAGGTTTCGAACCTGACCCTTGAAAATGCCGAATTTTCGTCGTATGAGAGCTTCTTTCCAAGCGCGTGTATCCAGCTCCGGCAAGATCTCACAGTAATTGTGTCTTGTTTACAAGTGCTTAGAATTTGGAAAGGCGAGAAAATTGCTCGATATAATTAACCCCATAGGATAAACCGGATATTTTGAACGCAAACAGATCAATATTGAACAGAACATCGCCAATATTTGAGATTGAGTTACACGACAGCGAAGCCAATGTTTGCCAACAAGTACTTAACGTGAATTCTCAGCAAACATTAGGAGCAAACTTTAAATCAACAAGTTCGTGCGCGGCGCAAGAAAGCTCAATAAAGTCTTAATAAAGGGCACTTGCAACGCTTCACCAAGAAGATAATACCTTTGACGAAGTTCTTGCGTGTTATTCAAATTATAATTCTCCTTGAAAGAACCCTGCAGATGTAAGCTTTTGTCGTGGGACTCCAAGATCATGTTATTTATTTAAGGGCATAAACCCCATGCTGCTCTAACATGTCTACACTCAATTTTCCATCGAACTCAAGTTCCCTAACATTTTTCTGCTTAAGTCGCCAGAAATACGGAGTTCTTTGTTTCTTAAGAGCTTAAGAAAATTACATAGCGGCAACTTTCGTTTAAATAATCTATATGCTAATGATTTCTTTTCAGTTTGGCTCCATGGTTTGGGTAGTAGTCACGAAACCTTATACAACTTCGCGGACATATTTTAGATCATTCTGAATTAGAGAAAACAATAAGGCGTTGATGAAGACATTTTCGTGAACAAAACCAAAAGAACAAAAAATGTTTTTTGTTAAAACTTGCCTTTTCTTCGTTCTTTTTAGAGCTATTTGCATATTTCTCCGACACGTAGACAATGTTTAAAATGTTTTGGCTTCTACGAATAACGCTGGTATAAAGAGAATTCAAAAATGTTTTGTGTTCCAAGATTTTAAGAGGTACCAATTATTTGTACAAAGTTGGTTTCCTTCCGATTTTGAAATAAATTTTTTTTCTCGCCTCCTTTCTTTAAGTTACTTGATGGGGAAAAAAGGTACTGAAAATGAAGTAAATACAAAAAACGCGATAAAGCTTTCTCTCTCGTCACGCTCCCTCGTGTATAGGAAAAACCTTGAGTTGCACAAGCCTTTATCAATCACCAGGACCCTTTGCCCTAAAAATTGAGTCAGAATTTTCTTTTAGCGTGATGATGTATGATAATTCTCTGATTAATGCTTCAGTGACTAACTCCAAGCATTATTTCTGCGGTTCGGAATAGTTACCATGTTTTCCTACAAGCATTTAAAATTTTGATACATTGTTTATACGCGGAGAGTGATATACTCGATCTAATTTGTACGTACGAAACATCAGACTGACAAATGGTTAGCTGCACTGATCGATCGGAAGGCCACCGGAAAGGCTTTAAAGTATCGACTTACACTGGATTTATATGCTAAAGAGTAACCTCTTAGTTTCAATGAGACACTCCTCTACCGAAACACTCGCATGAAAAAGTTCGCGACAAAGCACGCTATATTTCACGTGCGAATCATACAATGTTTATTCCCGAAGAAACAAACGAACAAGGGTTGTAAGGTTGAAGATCGAAGTATCATGTATCAGTTCGTTGAATGACTGTGTGTACATGCTACAACAACCGGACCTTTGATATTGTTTGCTTAACACTTGTTGTCACTTCGTAATAGATTATACAATCAAACAACAAGCGCCTAATCGTGAGCAAATTATGAGAAAATCGATCGCGTGTGGTGCGAAGTGGCAGTTAAAAAGCTTAACAAAGATACCCAGGATGGGGAATTCAATTTTACATGGGAACTTTTGTCAAAAGAGAGAATTTTTCTGAGGCTAAAAATAGAAGCTGTTGTTGATTGAAAAACGTGTGCAATACGACTAAAAGTTATTAGTCTCCAAGAGAGACGGATTTATTAGAGTAATATTTGAAATCTCTTTGAATTGGCGGTCAAGACTTCTTATACAAACAATCTAATAGGTGTCGAGTTTTAATACTTGACACGTTACATTTTGAAACTTTAAACATCATTTCGGTGGCTTCGAATTTTTTTTATGTAATGGCTTAACGAGCATAAGAAAGGAGAGAATTCTTTTATTGTATTTCGAAAGAAAAAAAGTGTTTTACGTCTAACTCTGTATGGTTGTTCGTGCGGGCTTTTTTACCTTTCCCTCTCATAACTGTGGCTTGTCTTTAACCACACAAAGTACGAAAGTATTCAAACCACACAGTTTCAAGTTTCATAATTAGCCGAAGTTCTTTCCTTGCCAGATTTTTCTAGCAAGGACAGGCTATTGTTTGAAGGTGATATATGCGGAGTTTCTAAGCTGGAACACTATGCCAAATCTTTGCTTGAATCACTTGGACACAGAAAACGCCATGGCGAAGAAATAGGCTAGAGAATTGTAGAAGCATTTAATTTCAATCCTGCATGGCTACTGACTACGGACGGTGAACACAGCACAAATACGGTACGCAAATTTGGGTACGGAAGTCCGAGAGGGATGAGAATATTTCGGCTAAATCACCTTGGAATCCTGTTAGCACACGCGGTAAGGAACGAATAGCGGCCTGATTCACGCTTTATGTCTTCAAAACAAGGCACTTCGTAGACATTAAGAGAAAATTCGCAGCTCGCGACAAGCAAGTACACGTATCGAGCAAGTATGTTCTCTCATTAGTCTTTATCACCCATTGAATGTAGTGTAATTCCCTTCTCAGAGACAATTCGATTGTTTTAAACTGCGACGACTTTGAATTTCGTCTTACTTCCCCTAGTTTTCAATGAATGAATGACATGCCAATAGAAAACCGGAAAAACACAACAACAAGCCGCCACGACTCATTTCAGTTCAATGCCAAGAGCGTGACCAAACTGCTCGAATCTCGCCTTGCAGGCATTTCGAATTGAAGGATAACTTTGACACTGTCCATAAATCAAGAGGGTTTCTTTAAAACATTTAAATAGCTATCAAACTGTAAACAGTTGATTAAGTGGTGTCGCAGTTACGCTGTTTTTTGACGATCTGTTTCAGCATTTTCGTGTCGCAAGATAAAACAACTGAGACTAGAAAAGGCGGTTTGCAAAAGACGTCATTACACTTGCTAACACGACGGAAACAGCGTGTATTAAGCTAGTCCGGACAGTTTCAAATGAGATTAGCACTTAGACTAATAAAGTCTTGTAAAAATAATGTCTGAATGCTGTCGGGGCCAAAAATGTGGTTTCTTTGGACCTTTCTTACCTTTCGAGGGATCTTGACCGCTTTCATCGACTTGCAACTGTAATCAGCGGCAGTTACACCGCGGGCTCCTATAGCATTTTGAAAAATGTTCACATGCATCGCGGAAAATAAAAACATGAAACGCAGCGGAAATAGTTTCTGCACCTCTTTCGTCTTGAAAGTGAACTCTTTGTTAAGCCTTTATAGACTTCACTGAAAAGTACCAGCTCGGCAATTCGCCGCAGTTAAAAAGAAAAAAAAGTCCAGAGCTGAATGAGAGAATTGCGTTGTGCTTCTCACAGACAGGTTAACTTTGCATATCCATTCAACGTGGGTAAATATGAATTACCTCGTGTCCTAATATTGAATATTTATTAGCAATACATATTGAGACCTGATCAACAACACCCTCTTCACCAAGAAAACAAATACAGCTTTAAAGCACAAATTTAACAACTGAATAAACACCCCTAGCGGTAATCAAATTCCTTCTTTTTAACACCCCTTTTCTCCCCGCTGGATCAAACGGAAAAGACCTCAGTGAGAAGTAAATTTTTATTTTGCGTCTAAAGATTTAGATAGGGGGACGAGAGCTGTCCAGAAAATTCCATCCCTTTTGATGAATTAAACGTAGATTTTCGACGGGGAAAGACTACTGGGGAAATCTTCCCCTAAATCTTTATCACCACTAATACCATTAAGGAGGAGCTTTCACAACCAATAAGTTACGTTCAAGTTTGATATTCGGCAGCGCGCGACTAAACCAGAGTCCAAAGTCGTTTGATGCACATGCATGATTCATCAGTCCTCTAAAAGTTAACATCGATCACCTTTAGATTTGCTGGCGGTGTTAGATTTCAAGCGGTTAAATGATTTAAAACAGATAATACCTGGTATTTCTTATTGATCAAACCAATTTTTGACAGTGGTGTCGTTGATATAACCGGCTCAACGCTACCAGCATTCAACACTTGTCATGGTAAACGATATTTGTTCACATACATTAGGTGGAATTCTCACCCTTTTTTTTTTAATTTGAGTGTTCAGCTGTTATCTCTTTTAACGATGTAGATATCAAAAAGGAAGAAACAACGCACTTAGGTTGAGAACCATCAAGGAAAAAAACATATAATTTTGTCTTATACTTACTAAGAGCTGATCCATAGTTTAGAGCTATGATTTGCTTGAGTAGATACCTTAGCAAAAAAAACCACAGTTCGTTGACAGGTTGACAAGCTGAGAGTACGAGATGTAGATGTTGCGATAAGGAAAAATGAAATATTCTTGAGGACACCTTGGGACGGTGTCTATGGGCACACAGTTGACATGGACATTTGTTTGTCGGCATAAAAATGAGGACATTACTTTATTCCTAAATGCTAATACAAGTAGAAACCAAACATTCAGTTTTTAGTGAGGCAACGATTATCCTACCCAAAATGATAGTTTTTACTCTTTAGAACTTTATAAAAAGCGATTTTAAATCAATTTCAGTGTCAATCTGCTGAGAGACTGTACCAACTTCAGTTGGGGTATCATTTTTCAACCGCTAGCTTTATCTTACCGATTTCTCAGTAGAATTCGCCGATTGTTTATGCTAGGGTTTTAAGTGTCGAATTTCTTCTTTCTTTTGTCTTTTTCTTTCTCCCTTTTTTTTTAAAACCAGGATTAGTCATTCTATATTGTTTGCTTTTGAAACTAATCCACGCTTGCTAAATGCCTTTTTTTAGTTTGAACCCGCGTGGTTTTTGACGGGTTTTCGCAAGCTTAAATATCTCCACCCGCTTAAAGACTAGCATAAAACTTGGAGGTAAAGTGAAATGAATGCTGCTTTTTTTTCCCGGAGTAACACCAGCTAACATTACGTGACTGTCTCGGGTATATAATTACCAAACATCGTATTTAACAGCTTCCCTCGGGTCAACAAGAAGTGATAAGTACTCTGAATATGAACGGATATGGTTGAGAGACATGCACTTTAAAAGGTTTAATCGCTTTAAGGTCCGCCTGCGGTAAATTAGCCGAAAATTTGGCAAGCTTTACTTTACAATTGAGCTTCCTATTGACTTGAAATGTAGCTGGTGCAAGAATTCAGTTCAGTTCCCCTCTGGCCATGCAGACTCGTCTAGAAATATGACCAATTTGAAGTCCTAAAGTTGGTTTTTCAGCCAGAATGACACGCAAAAGATAAAGAGCATCAGCTGTTTGCGTCTTTTTTCGTTAACACCTCCATGTAATGTGGTGGGAACTCTCACGAACGTTTTGGGAACTTTTTGGTGATATTCAGCACTCACGGGCTGCGGTCCCATCAAGGCCCCCATTCCAGAAGTGGATCCAACAAAATCCCCAGCGGCAATTGTGGATTCCTAGCGAGGGAAATAAACGGCTCGAGATATAGGCCGGGAGTTCTAGTTATCTGATAGTATTTGACTGAAACATGCTTTACAAGGGGGGCCTGGGGTTAGAACCCAAGAAAGCAGAAAGTTCCTACAAATTGACTGAGTTCTTATTTGGGAGGCTCTATTGTAAGAATAAACTGCTTCACACTATCAGAGAGCACAAAGACTACTTAAGAACAAATTGGAAAGAGTGGTTCTCCTTCGAGATGAGGAGCTAAATTGGAATTAATTACCGATCCCCCAGGTCTTTTTCTTTTAAAGTGATGACAGAAGGACTGTGGTACAAAATATACATTTATCTACTTCAATTCCCCCGTCGATTAACTCACGCAGTTTTCATATTTCATTTCATGTCTACTTATCGCTAATTTGTTTGAAATCCGAAATCATCTTTCTCATACAACCAATAACAGAGTTACCCAAGCAGCTACATTACGTAGACGACAAAAGACGTAACACGTCAAAAATACTCTAATCTTGTAGGTAGCAAGTCGGTTAAAGCTTCCTCGCTTTGTAAACATTGTTACCTGTTTCTTAGTTTCCCTTTTAAGAGGAAGTCGCAACAAAAATATCGTCAAGGAACATAAAACCTTTTTTTAGAGAAAAGTTGCACACAGGTGACATAACCTGCACGCAATGTTGCATGCAGCGTTTGCAGACAAGGCGACCACATGCCACATCGTTAATTTAATATTTACAATACATGTGAAAATTTGATTTGATTTTACTTAATGGAACCTTTATAATTTTGTTTCCTGTATCTTTCTACTTTTCTGCATATTGTAACTTTTTCAAGACAAGAAGATAATTAAATTTGATGCCAAGCAGCATTACTCAACACTTTCAAATATGTAATTCACTAAATTACATTTGGTGATGTTACTAACTGAATTGGGCATTGAGGGAGAAATGTCTCGAGTGCACTCTCTCCAATAACTGTTTGCTCTCAATAGCCTTCAACTTAATAATTACCATTAGGTAAAGAAGTGAATTCTTATAACTTAAAAAGTATTTTTTTCCCTCTTGTGATGGAGAACAATTCGTTGGGCAATTACTATCGAGCTTAAACCCCATTCACACCAGAGCATAAACATGTTAAAGCTGTTTTTGTAAACACGCTTAAATTTGTTTTCGTCGCAGAAGCTGCTTAAACGGATGTTTGTCGACATTGGAAAAACAAGTTGGTGACTTCATGAATCCTATGGAAAATTTTTTTTTTTTTTTGAATACTCTTTTCCTGATCTTCCTACCGTTAAATCCAGTTTGACTAGACATATTTTGCTGGTGTGAACGGGTGATTATATTCTCCTGGTACTTGACAGTAAAGGTAGTGGAGTAGAGACTGAGTACAAGTCAACCATTAAAATCATTACTTTGACACGAGATGGTGACTCAAGCTTTATGAGCCCGCGTTCTGTGATGGAGAACGCGTTGGTGGGAGGACTTCTTAGAGCCGTGCTTAGCTTTAGGGGCACCTTTCGTTGCAATACTGTTGAAGAAGAAGAAGAAGTAAGCAAAACATAGCCGTTACTAATTTTACTGTTAAATCCCAGAAGAGTCCATTAGGGCACAAATGAGTTCAGACTATGGCTGAGTGGATGTTTAGAGAGGGACAAAATCGCATAGCCCACGAATGCGTGCGCTGGCACTGATTGCAGAGAAAACCGTCGGTCGTGAACTCTAATTCAGTAATGTGCGTATGACTGAGTATCAGTTAAAGGGCGAGACCATACGGCGTACATAAGGCAAAGTTACGTGGAATAACATAACGATAATTTTTTTTCCGACGCTCTTCTATGCAGTTTCTCAAAATTTTGCACGAAACTATACCAGAGGTTCATTAGGCAAACAGGGGCTCTTTAAGCTTTAACAAACCTGCTTTTCTTAAATGGATTTCCTGGTTGGTTAAAACCTTGTACGGATACCTGCGGGGTAACAATACCCTGTAGAAAGAATACAAGAAATATCACACTCAGGTTTAAGTGCTTGTTCACATTTCATTTGCTATCACGGATCACGTATCCCCGATATCTGTGTCACAGCTTAGATCGAGGAAAAGGTGACCCAAATCACAAATCACAGATCATAAATGAGAGTCGTTATCAATCTGCTTATAAGAAACCTGTTTCACCATCAGTCATGATCTATCACACTTTCTTTGCTTGTTACGGTTTCCTTTATAAGATTTAACTATTCTTTATATAGAGGAAGGAGTGTTCTTACAGTAAGTCAGCACGTTACATTCCTACCTCTATCTGAACTTGACCACCAGGAAATGTCGAAGGCGCCTCCACTGTGCTTTGAACCGTTACCCCAACTGGTACTGGTGCGGGTGCTGCAGCCGGACTGGCCCACAAGGTCTGGACAGGACTCGCGGCTGGAATGACAATAGGAGGAAGAGGAGGAGGAGGAGGAGGAGGAGGAGGAGGAGCCTCGTTCTGGGCCGGCGAAGGAGCTGGTGCAACAGTAGCTGGAAATTGGACAGGACCATTTACAGGTGCTCCAGGGGAACCAGAGAAAGGTGCAGAAACCTTTGGTGACTGGGTGGGAGGTGTATTTGGTTTCAGGGGTGGAGTAGTTGGTGTAGTTGGAGCTGGTGTTGAGCAAATCGTAACCCCGCTAGGTATGAGTTGTGGTGTGGGTTTAACACAAGGCTGGCCTCCGGTGTTATTCTTTCTGTCTTTGACGTACTTTTCAAGCGCAGCCAAGCGTTGTATCAGAATTTTAAGTTCAGTTGATTCGCACTAAAAAAAGGAATGAAATGTGTATGGTTTTGCTAAGTAGTGCACAGACGTGTTTAGAATGATTTAGAACAATTTTTGTTGAGCCTGTGCCAAGGGTATTCCCTGAGTGCATTGGTTTTGGTTGTGTCACTTTGTAAATGGTCGAGAAAACTGATAACATTCTCTCAACAAATCTGATTCGAGCCAAGAACAATAACGACTTTTTCACTCACGTTTCTCCGGCGCACCTCAGACAGTATGTATGCACCTCGGAAAGTATGTATGCACCTCGGACAGTTTTCTGGTTTTACTTTGGTTACTCATTAACTCCTGGCGATAATTTCCCCCTGTTGAGAGCTTTGTTTTGAGCGACTGATGTTACCACTTTGGTTTGGTTTGGCGACACTCTATAGAAAAATGTCTTTACAGCATAGATCTTATTAACCTTTTTTTTTTCTCACTTACATTTTTTTCATACGTTCTTGACTACATTTTGAAACTGCCTGTCCTCTCAAGATAAACCAGTTATTTTACGTTATTTGACCACTCAGTGAGGTGAGTTCATACCTCTGATGCTGATGTGAGTAATGACATCATTATTAGTTACCTGTTCTATGGTGCATACTCCTGGTGTTCCTTTCAGACCCTAGAACGTTTGAATGTGGTCTTGGTTATTTCAACGAAGCAACTTAAAAGTTTCTTTGTCAGCTGAACACTTTGAGATATCAATGACAAATATCACTGTCAAATAAGATACCGAGGCCGTCAGCGTAAATAAGACATGACTATCAGACTTACAGGCAATCCCGGCGGCCCACGGGGTCCTTGTGAGCCAACATCACCCTGAAAGTAAATTGCTGTCGTTAATTTTCCTGCTATGATGTAAAGTCCATCAGGTGTCTGAGGCATAGTGTCTTTCTCTATGATCATATCACAGACATAACAAATGAGTCATGGCGCTTAGAAATTCTCAATCGGCCGACATATCCCTCTTGCAAGACTTATCAGTATTCCATGTACGGCTCGAGGACCAACTTCTTCGTTGTTTTATTATTTCTGTGAAAATCTGGGATCAAAATGACAAACCTGTGTGCCATTTTGTCCATCTGATCCATCATTTCCCTTCAAAAAAACCATCATGTTGTCCTAGAACAAAACATAAGATAGGCAATTTAACTCTAATTTTAAAGTGAAATTTTCAGCAGGCAACCGTGGACGATACTCCTACTCTTGTACGTTGGATCAGCGATGATCTGATCGGCCCAAAATAACGAATATGAAATATAAATATAGAGGCAAGACCGATACAACGTAGATAAGTAAATTCTAAGACAGAGCACTATAATTCGGCTGGCCAAACCAGCCTTCTTCAGGTGCAGTGGGAATTAACAGAGAATTGGGGTGATGCTTCATAGATAGCTGTATGATGCATCATACAGCTATCTATGAAGCATCACCGCAATTCTCTGTTAATTCCCACTGTACCTGAAGAAGGCTGGTTTGGCCAGCCGAAATATAGTGCTCCGTCTTAAAATATACTTACCTACGTTGTATCGGTCTTGCCTCTATATTTATATTTCTAATTTAAAGCCCGCCAAAATGGTTTCGAAATGAGGGGAGGAGGGGGAAGGACCGGAAGCGAAACGATGGTGGAAAAAATCACAAACACTCGTAATGTGTTTGGGTTTTGAAAAATGAGCAGAATTAAGGACACATTTTACTTATTTATCCTCAGTTATCTCCTGCAAATTTAAAATTCGAACGATTGAGCGGCCTGTGGTTTCATGCCTACGTAGGTTTTGTTATCTCCGACGAAGGGCTAACGCTCCAAACGTCAGCTTTTGTAATCATTGCGGTGGCTAATTTACCATTTCAACTTTGTTGATATATCCAAATTATTTTGTTATCAGGATACAGACAGGACAGATGAGGCAAAAAGTATAACATACTATGGAATGTTTATATAAATGTTAGAAATCAAACTACAGATACCTCGTCTTTGGAACTGGACACTATGTTAAACTTCTTAGCTAGGTCGGCATCTTTTGGATCCGAGGCATGCTCTCTGCATGATATACCGCTGACCAACACCAGTAGGATGACCAGGTCCATTGTCCTTAGCAACGAAAACGATTGAAAAGGATCTGAGATTTCTGAGTAAATTCTAAACAACTCGCTGAAGATTTAAGGAGCACTTGCTTTCGATTCCTTCGAATAAGAAAGCATCTAAAGTCCACTTTCTTGCCACAAAAAGCACTTCAAAATATTTTTTTTTCTGTTGACGACTCTCTAGTGGCACGAGCAATACTAACCCTAGCCCTAAGCAATAGTTGAATGCTTTTTCCCGCCAAAACAGAGAGACCAGCAGGTGCCGACTGGTGGATTGTGAAAGCGGAACAATTTCACGTGAAAATCTTGATTTAGTCTTTTCATCTCAAAATTTCCAATAAAATGATTTCATTTTTAACAACGCTCTATCTGACGAGGAGGGCAAGATATACTCCGGTATTTAGTGAAATCTTAAATTTCGCTGCTTCCAATTTAAGTTAAAAATCTGTTTATTTTGTAAAAAAACAAACAAGGTTTATCACGATCGTTTCTCGGTGAAATGTTACAAAAGTCAAGTAACGCATCAACTTCAAGATGGAATTCTCTTTGACTACAGAGTAATCAAGAGACAATCGTACGTAACTCATCGCTTTTTATAAGAGATGTTGTAACAAAGCACCTCATGGTTCTACAAAACTAGCAGAGACCAATTACGACACTTACAAAATTGGATTCTTCGACAATTGTAGCAATTTCCTTTCAGCTTTAAATAAACGTTGTCCTCTCTTACCTTTAGCTCAAAAGATGCGACTGACGAAGTTGAAGTCCTAATAATGATCGTATCATATAGGTTAATATTATTAGCTTGGAGTTGTCAAGAATTCATCTGCGATCGTCACGTGATCATCTTTCAAAACAAATTGAGCTAATAGCCTCGTTTTGAGTCTCGAAGATCTTTTTTTTGGTCCTCGAAATGTTTTTTTGGTCCTCGAAAGAGTGGGTATCAATAGATGTAATCGAAATTCAATTCAGGCGAATAAAGGAGAAGAAAAAAATATAGAAACCGTCTTGGTAGGAGTCGAACCAATGAGCTCCGCCATATAACTGCGCTATCAAATAATATGTAAAGATGAAACAATTTTTAGTGAAATAGAAAAATCCGAGCCCCAGATGGTCGTGGGTCGTGGGTTCAAGTCCCATCTGGGGCTCGGATTTTTCTATCAAATAATAGATTATTTTATAATTTATTGATGTTGTATACGTCAGAACAAGATGTCTCGACAAAATGTCTTCATGTAAGCCGTGAGAAATTACAGGGAGTGTAGGTACGCGGAATAATATATTCATCCTCTGTGGCCATTACATTCTCTAAGGTATCAAGGTATTATCATAGGCCCTTAATTTGAGCTGAATAAACCTAACTCTCAGGCGATCAAAGGTTGGTCGCTCAGTTCCTTGTTTACTGTCTCGTCGAGGGAGCTGGGACGATTGACCTTGCACCGTCTGAGAACCAAGCTACTGTGAAGCTTTGTATGCGCATGACTGAAGCATTGAACAAAACCTTGATGGGCAGTCGGCTTAGGGCATACGCAGTAACATAAATAATGTGTTTAACTGCCCGTGAGCTAATGCTTGCGTTCCTGTTACATATAGCTTCTGTGGGGAGGTCTTGGTGGATACTTTTCTTCAAGTTCTACTTCGTTCTTTGGCACTTGTCCTTCATTGTTAGGTTCATCAGAATTTCTTAGAATGTCAGCGCAATACTCAGGTTCTATTTTCTTTTCCTCGCAGTCTATGTATTTATAAATATGATTGTAGAGGTATCCAAGTGGAGCAGACCCTTGACTAAGAAGATGATAATGAAAATCCCGCAAATTAAACGACTTGCCCAGTTTCTCCTTGACAATTTTGCGCATGTCCACTAGCGCCAGTTTCCCTAACATATAGGCTGTAGCCTGACCAGGAACACTCTGGTACCTAGTTACTTCCTTTACAGCAAAGTCTGTGGTATCCCAAGTGTAGTCTTCAAAGTATTTAAGTGCTTCGGACCTATTATGAAAACAAACTGTTACAACAAGCAGCGAAAAAAGGAGAGAGTTTAAATGACCCGGCCAGTTCAGACTGAATAGTACGGAGTTTAATTGCCTAACAGCTAATGGAGCCATAAACTGGAATATTTTTTACCTGGTCATTCCTCTGTAATGAAGTCCAGTGTCCACCATAAGTCTCAAAGCTCGCCAAACCTAACCAGAAAAATTTCACATCAAAATACTGAGAACTCTTCGTTTGATGAAATAAATAGAGGAACGTGTTGTTCTCAACACGATTGAGAGACAGAACATCTGCGGCAGCCGGGGGCCTGGGGCCGGGGTACCCCCTGCACGCACTTTTTAGCCCCCAGCTCCATGAAATTTCAACATACCTGCCATTTCATCATGCCATACAGCTGTAAAAAGTTCTCTTCATACAGTCCAGCATCATGGGATAGAAGAGGATTCTCAGCATACAAAGCCCACCCCTCTTGAAAAGCTGTATATGACGTTTGCTTGTCCAGCCACCGTGGAACACCTCCACATCTGTCACGGAAATGCTCCACTAAGCCTGTCGATCAAGACCATGATTGCCAACGATTAGTTTCCATGTCGAAAAGATGACATGCACTTTTTGTCCTATCAAGATATTACTCTTCATCACTTGGCAGAGGGAAGCTATGAGGGTTCAAGGCGAGCATTTACCCTACTAATCCCCTAGTAATCTTAAGTAATCGGTATCTTGAAAGACGAAGTGATAATCCAAGCAATAACCGAATACCAAGAAAAAAAGTTCGTTATTTACCTTGCATTTGAGTGTGGTGCCCAGGCCTTGACTCATGGCCAATCACAGACCATTCCTGGAACTTTGGACCATACTCCTTCAGGAAAAACGGTAGGCCAAAATGACATGGCGCTGAACAGTTGCTGTCGCTTGGCCGGAAATACATAGCGCCGTTAGAGGGGTTGTAATGCGGCCATATCTGTATCGGGCAGTTAGGCGCCGTCGTCTTGGGACCACTAAAGTAAAACATCGATTGAACCTTGGGAGCTATCATACTCATTATCTCATTGATGTATTCGCCCCATTTCACAACGGCCGCCCAGCGCTGAGGACAATTTTTCTTTGCAGAGTCTGGATCACGACAAGCTTGGTGTGCATGCTCGTCACTTTCATTAGCCGGAAATGGTGCGGAATTGTGCCACTGTTCACGGCTAGATAAAAGGAATTTAAATTTCTCGATTGCTTTGGATCTCTTATTCCTGCCAGTCATAAGTTTTGCTATTTTATAGACCTAAAACAATACGAAAGAAATATAATCCGTTAAATGACAATGATGACAATCGTGACAGTTTTTATTAATACTTATATCTTATTAACCAAGCGCGAGGGCCGTACTGGGAGAATATCGGCCCGAGGTCTTGAGCGCAGCGAGGTCCGTACAAAAAAGACCGAGGGCCGATATTCTTCCAGTACGATCCCGAGCAAGCTTGGTTAATAAGAGATTTATTTTAAGACTGAAGTTCAAAGGGTCACAAGTGCGGTATCATTCGTGACCATTCGGGACAGTGCCCGGTCCAATACTGAGAGAATGTTGACCGGCAATAGAGCATTTTGATCGGTTGATTTTAGTTATTGGCCGTCTGAATGCCCGAGTCGTGTAATAAAACTAATTATCAATTATCAGTTGTCAACTTTCCATTATCAAGTGTGAACTATAAACTATCAATCGTTACTAACTAATGATCAACCGTCAACAACCAAATATCCACCATCGATTATCAATGAACACGTCGTTTGACTGCTGGGGACCTCAAGTTTCGTGAAAAACCACTTTGCGTCTTCGTGTAAGAAAATTAAGAGTCTGAAATACACAAATGTTTTGCTACTTGCAACAAAAGAGAAGACACTTACCTGGGGCATGAGGGTTTTAAGTTGTGTTCTCCCCTTCCAGTATATTTCATCTGAAGAAATATTAGTTGTTGTGAAGTATGATAAAATCATACTGTAAGTTTTAGTGCCATTCAATTCAAGCGTAGTACCTGGCAGAACTTTCGTCGTTTTATTCTTAACATCCGGGACACCATCAGTATACACGTAATCGACAGGCAAATTAGCAAGTCCGCTGGCCACTTTTGTCGGTAAGCAATGACGGCTGTGTTCATACTCAAGATAATGAATCAGGTTGAGAACCGGTTCACCAAAACCTTTCACCAAGGCCTCTTTAATAGCTTCCTGCACACTCTGACCCGAGTGATTAATTTTCCACAAATCATCCACTCTCAAGTCCAACTTTTCCAAGTACTGAGATTTGAGATACTGTTCGACGTACCATTCGTGTAGTACACCTGTTGAGGCATTTTTCTTTGCTATTGCAGGATAACTTTCTTTAAAAGCGTCAAGACCCGCTCTACAATCAACGTCCGGGCGAACCATACCTGCTCTGACTCCCATGTCAATGTTATTTCTGTTGATGTCAAATTGGATACAAGTCACGTGACATAGAGTGAAGTGATTACAAGATTATAGCTACGTCGTTCAAAAGGCAGTTGGCTCTTATCCAAGGTTGAGAGTTCAACATGTGTCTTATTTCTCCGGAAGAAACGTATAACATGGTGAAAGTTTTGTCAGGTGAAAATGAAGGGAATATAAACTAAACTGTGAAACTTTCTGCAAAACTTCTGAAATTGTGTCAACCTCGAAGAAGTTTTTTAGTGGAACGATGACACTTAACAAGCAGGCTCTTCGATCTTAAAGGATTTTTTAAACTACTCAGCTAGTGCGAGTCCATCTTGCGCGAGCGAGAATTAACGCTTGCGATGACGCGGTAATCCCACGTAGCTTTCTCATGCAAGTGACACTCACATCCTCGCAAAGCGTCTGGTACACAGGCAACAAAACCATTTCCTTTACCCACCTGTACTGATCAAACGTGTTCCTGTGTTTCATGATGATGTCAATCACAAGTTGTACGTCGTTGTAAGAGCGAGGCTTGACGTACCAAGCAAAAGAATTCAGGTCATACGGCACGCGGCAGATTGGCTGCCAGCAGAAGTAGTTTGGTCCCATTAGCCAATCACCGGCATAATAGTTGACATCAAACGGCGAACCGAACACGTGTTGAAGGAAATGCTTTGCCTTTGGACAGGACAACACCAACATAGGTGAGTCAGATGAGTCAGATGACCCACAGTCAGCCCCTCAGTGGTGGGGGGGGATTATATCACAGATAAACTTTAACCATTTTTGACATCGAAAAGAACATAGAATATTTAAACCAATCAAACTGGTTAACGGCCATTTGTCCCTTCTCGCTACATCATCTTCCTCTCGTTTCTTCAATGATCACCAGCAGGCCGCGCCCTTTCGAACGTGGGCTCAGAACATGGAAAAGTCGTCACCCATATTGTGTGAGATAGCGCTCCTTCTTAGGTACTGATTTCTTAGAGCAAAAGAGGATAATCCTAGTAATATTGCTATTCATACCTGCCATAACGCTTTAGCCTCCCGAGCTTTAAGCTTCCATTCTTCCACCTTTAATTGTTTCAGCTTTCCCAAAAGAGCGAGAGCAGCGTCAGTCTTTCGCTTAAGAACTTCAGGGGATGGATCGTAGGGACGGTACCTATAAGGTAACACAAAGTTAATCATAACACATCAATTTTGTGTGGATTGAGATGTGGGTATCGTGTGTCTGAGGACTTCAATCAGGGAATTAAGATATGGAACACTCAATTTTTGTCCCAATGTTATGCGAAAACACTGACAATCATGTCAATCACGCTTCCGTTTGCGTCCACCCTCGTGAGCGACTACAGTTCAGTACCTTTGTCTAAGGTCACTTGCCTGTAACAAAATCAAACTCATTTTGTCCAATCAATACTCACCTGACCTGCACCCCCTGTGCGTTTGACAGGGAAATAATTAATACCTAGGAAGTTGTTAATTCACCATTATTGTTACTATAACCCAATCGATTTCATCGACCCCGGGACTTTTGCCAAATTATTCTACGAGTTTGTGAGTCCAACTGAGATTACAAAGCCTCGTCAACGCGAAATCTTCTTAAGCTGCCATTCCTGAACGCATAATCGGACGGACTCTGCGTAGACGGATTTATTAGGGCAAATACCAGAGATTATTTTCTCGGTAAAAAAGCGATGCGATTACCAAGTTGTCAGCGTAATCGCAAAAACATCTCACAGAAACTACAAACATGCATGCAAGCTAAAACTTCGCGCTCCGGCTCCTGGAGAAAGAACAACACCGTACAATGTTCATTGAAAGAAAAAAAAAAAGAAACAAGAAGGAACAATGATAGCCCGTCAGGGAGCAATGAGAGAGGAAGACGATTCAAACGAAGTTGAAAAAGTAAGGCACAATTTTCCAAATTGTTCAGTTATTTAATCATTACTCGTAAAAACGGAGGAAGATCTGCGATCCGGAATCTCAAGGGCTGGAACTCCTGTGTTTTTTTTGCTCTTTTTCGTGATTTATGCTGAACTTTTTTTCACCTGCTCTGCAGACGATTTACAGATGATAACGACAACAGAGTGCTTCGGAAGCTACCTAATGGCTTTACCCGAGCATTTCCTGATAGAATCATCCTTCTGCTTATCCAGTCGCCTGTAGTTTCTCACCGTCATCCTTCATCGAATCCAAGCTTCCTTTTGATAAACACGATCAAAACTTATCGTTTGAAATAACATTACCCTGCCGTGCTTCATCCGTTTTCTTTGTTCTCCGGAAAGAGTCTTGGTTAATTACCCTCTGAAGGTTAGTGATCAAAGGGGCAAGCATTGAATATTTTGGCAAAAAATTCCTCCAGATGAGGTAACATGTCATCGCCGTAGATGATAACATTAGACCACTTGAGAAATCTGTCGAGTGTCTTGTTGGGTCTGTGGTTGTTTTCCTTTAGTTTTGCGCAGCTTCGGATTTGACCCTCAAGCGAAATGTTTGCTCTTAAATTTAACTTAGTGTTGGTAAACATTCAAAAGCCATTAACGCGATGTACGTGACATTTGTAGATGATGATACAGGGGTTGGTCAAAAAGACATTATTGCGGGGTAAATGTGCATCTGTTTCTGACCGATACTATTTCTCGTCATTTATCTTCTAATATAAAGTAGATTTTGTGACTTCCATTGGATAATTAACAAATATTTAACACTCGTTCAGTTGAGCGCAACCAGGTTCATAGTCGATCAGTTCTAGCGTCACAGCGAATTTCCATGAAAATAGCACTAACTTTAAAATAATCGTTCACTAAAGGAGACGACTGACTTGGGCAAGACAAGAAAGAATGAAACAACAGAGCGCGAGTATGGTTCAGATTGAGGGAGATAAACAGGGACTCCAATAACTAACAATCTAGGATAAGATTTTCAAACCACACAAGTCTGAGCGTCAGCCTTTAAATACACTTTGGCGGCGTATTTGGAGGACATGAGACACAGAGCTGACCCATAAGGCTCCCTGAAGAGCGGAAATTACTCATAAAAGTATGTTTAATCTCCTTACCTTGATTTTACGTATTGCACCTTTTCTGTTTGTCTTGTTGTATCAGGATTCCAAGCGGCATTATTAGGAGAGTGTAGAAAAAACGAAGTTTTCACTTCTTCTAACAAACCGGGCAAACCGACGCCAACGGCTTCGGATGAGAAGTCGCAAGAAGACGACTGAGGTGATGCGATGCTCTTCGCGGTGGAAGGCGCTTGAGTTGAGTCACAGTTTTTATATGCAGAATGGATCTCCGCTGCGCCTACAAACACCATCACAATACCGATTATCAAACATAGCAAGCTGAAAACAAAAAGGACCGCGTTATTACAAACTGCACTGCCCTCTCTACGCGAAGGCACCATTATTGAACAGTCGAATGTTACGCGACTCAGTGATGACTGTCGCTTTGTAAGTTGTTTGAAGCAGTGACAATTGATACTTTGATTGACAAGGTTATGTCAACAAACCAGCTGTCTGTTTGCCTGTACTTTATAGATCAAGTTTTATTTGATGACATCAGTTTAACTGTCGTTTCCCTCGCTCTGAACTTTCGACCAGAAAAATTACATACATCAATGTCAAATATCTCACCAGTGAGCTACCAGTAAACGTTGTGAGCTGTTCGAACAAATCTACAAGGCAGTGATACTCAAGGCTAATTCTCCCCTAAATGTAACGCCTCCTGGCTGGAAGTAAATGGGAGTCAGATGTCCCAAACGTCAATCGGTTTGCATTGGTATAATTTTCAGGGAAATCCTGTTTAAAATTGTTTTACGGAAGAAGGTTTCGACATTGTTCACGTGATTTCTGCCTGTGTCTACAAAACGCGTTGAGAGTTGCCGATTTGATTTCTTTCCGGTTTGGAAGTGAAGCTCACTGACTTTCTCGTGTCGCCCGTGTCGTATCTTCACTCCACGCCGGGAGATGCAAGCTCTCATTGGTTACTAGGAGGGACAGACGGGTTTAGTCTCGTTCCGGGAATTAGGACTGGAATTTTTCTGCGTTTTGAGTTTAGTAATGATTGTGCTTTGCAGTTTTTCCATTTTTCTAGGTTTGATTTTCTATTTTTAGGCGTTTTTTTTTTTTTTTCGCCCTTTGGTAACTGAGCTTTTCTAGTTCTCAGGAGGTCATCAATTTTGAGCAATCATTCGATGGTTTTTGGGTT